TTCTAAGTGTTCTATTCATACTATATGAAATTATTTTGGTCCCGTACGAATTCTATAGTATTTCAATCATTGTTTTGAACTGATTGCATAATGCTTTCATTTTCCAATACATATCGTACTGTACGATCTTTGTATCATCCTGGACGATGTGTATTCATTCTTATGTATGCACCTAGATGGTTATCCAAGAAGAATCAGTTATTATAACTGATCGTACGTACGGACCCTTAGTTTGTATGTACGAACCACATGTAATTCAATGTGGTGGACAAATCTCCGTCATTAAAATAGAATGATCATTAAAAAAAGTTAGAATAGCCTTGCAAAGATCCACCTTCACAACATTTCACTATTTTTGAAAGAAAGTAGTAGTGAAGCTATTAGGACCAACAACAAAATCTTTATTAATAGACATTAATGCATTAAATATTTCTCTCTCATTAGGGTACTTAGTCATAACCAGAAATTTAAAGCAATCCACAATATTAATAATAATAGGAATAATAGAAGGATTAGATAATGGGAGAGCATTCTTAGACACACACAAAAAAGTATTTAAAGGAATTTAAAACAGAATCAATGATTAAAGATTAATCATTGCACCAATTACCCGACTCAAACTTAATCCTATTGATGTGATGTTTGTCTTTCTTAGAATTAAATAAAACATGTAAGTACTTAGTGTTTTTGTCGCCATCAGAAATGTATTTGGTAGCATCTTTTTGCCTCAAATATTCTTTTCCATGGATTGGAGATTAATCAATTTTACTTTAGCACAAACCTGATTCCTATAAATAGATCCTGTGGAAGAAGCAAATTTATATTCAAGGTAAGCCACCCCTTTTTAGTTTTAATAAAGTGATTAAAGATATTCCCCAACTTATTTTTGTTCAACCATCAAAGAGTTTGTTTCAACCTCATAGGTTTGAGGTAGAGAAAGACCATATCTTTGTTTCCCTTAAAATAAGGCATGGGGTAAAACCAATTCTCCATGACAATGGTTAAAACATATTTTGAAAATGAAAAAAACTAATACAAGAAGTGCCCTCTTTATCAATCTTTAAAAGAAGTGGAGAGTGGTCCAAAATAGTCCTACTAAGGTGTTCCACCATAGACTTAGGAAAAAGAGAAAGCCACTCCCCATTGAAACTAACCTATCAAGCCTTTCCCAAACTCTATTATTGGACAAAGTAAAGGAAGATCCAGTAAAATTAATGTCAGTTAAACTACACTGAATAATCATATTGTTAAAATCCTCTATAACCTTTAAATTAGGCAGAGAGGCCCCCACTTTTTCATTAAAATAAGATATAATATTGAAACCACCCCCACAACCTAAGGACAACTATGAGAAATAACTAAATTAGATAAGTTATACCACAAGGGGATTCTACTATACTTAGAACAATTGTCATACACAATATTATAATTAAAAATATTAAAAGAGCAGTGAATAAGTTGATGAAAATCCCCCAAAATAAAGAGATTTAAAATACTTTCCAAAAAATCCAAATTTTACTAGTCTTATTGGCATAAGAAGATTCAAACCCAAATTGACATTGGCAAATAAAGATTTTAGAAAGATCAACCATGGGCTCTAAATGTGCCAAAAAAACTAATATTGTGAATACAACATAAATTAAGGATAGGAAATTGAGTTTGAAGATTACCAACACCCCTAACATTTCAAATTAAGGAATTAAACATTAACACCATTATTAGAAGAAGCAAAGGATTTATTAATCCACACATCACTAGAGGGTTAATTTACAACCAATTGTTTTTCTCTTTTCCTTAGCTGGGATCCAAACACCATCATCTTTAGCAACATTAACTGGTTTAATGTCTCCCAATTTATCTAAATCACTCTAAGAGTAACCCTCAAAATTAGAATTAATCTCCCCTTCTTAAAAAAAATTGATCAGAAGGGCAAATAATCTCAAAATCCTCACAATCACTATCAGAAATAATATTCTTACCATGCTGCTGATCTCCATGAGTATTACCAGGATAAGATAAAATATTTAATATAGAGTTAGAGACATGAACATTAATGCAAGGAACCAAATTCAAAAAATTTATTGAAATTAAAGCATCATAATATGCAGCCTCATTAATATTACCTTTTTTTTAGCAGTTAGGAGATCAGCTGTAAAGTCAAAATTTCAGTTAATCACTTACTAAGCTAATTAAACACAATAAATTCTACTTAGTCAATCATTTATATATTAGAAAGTTAGTGTCATTGAATCCCAATTGCTAAGCCACTACAGAAAATTCACTGAATAACATTAGTAATTTCAGCGGTTAAACTCACGATTTGACCGTCGCTGTTTACCCGCGTTCAACCACCGGTACAAAGCCAATTAATCGTCGAAAATGTCATAAGCATATTCTTACAATAACGATTTTACCCGCTGTTTAGCCTTTATTTTTAAGTAACTTATTTTCAGCAGTTGAAACTGCCAAAAATGCCACCAGTAAGTGCCCTAAAATTGAACCTCCCCCCTTCACTCCCCTTCTTCCTAATTTCACCTGCCTCATTTCGTTTATCTAGAGAATGCCTGTGATGCTTAGCCGACCTTTCACCCTAGACGATTCTGCTCGCTCATTTCCATCTCGTTAGCCGAAAGTGATCTCCATCTTAGTTTTTCTTTTTAATTTCATCTACATTAAAAATTTCTTGAATCTCATTAGGTAGATGAATATGATTTGATGGCTCACAATTGTCAGAGAAATCTCAGTTGCATTCCAAAATTGTTTGATATTTTTTACCTAGAAACTATATTTTCATTTCAATAGGAGGCCCTCATATGCTTTAAGGCTAAGCAAAGCCATAGGTTAGAGGAAAAATCAACAAAAATTGTTTATCAGAAAAGCATTTATTAGCATCTATTATAAAAGTATGTATTAGTATTTGTCCACATACTTAGAGAGCTTCTTAGTGCATTAGAGAGCTCCTCATTTCTTGATTAAGGCTTATTCTTTTCATTTCATGATTAAGGCATAATACCTCATTGTTTATTATTTTCATTTATTTATTAAGGCACATTATCTCAATTGTAAATAACATTAGAGAACTCCTCAATGCATACTTCTTAGAAATGTTTGGCATATTCAAATAAAAAGGTATAATAATTTTAATAAAGTTATATCAATTAGGAATATGCCAATATATGTGAGATTCTAGGTTTTGTTTTGCATTAAATATTTTAATATTATAATAATATAGAAATATAAAGTGAATGACTCTTACTCATAGGCTGAAATTGACCACTAGTGTTTATAATGAAAAACTTTGGTGTACTTTAGTTCATTCTCACACAAGTAAAGCCAATGGTACGATTGAGATCAAGTAATTTCTTAAGTTTGTGAATCTCTCACCCTCCATCATGATTGAGCAGAAGTTTAGGATAAGGTTACTCCTATAATGTCTTCATGTGGTTAAGTGTATTATTAAATCATTATACTTAATGACTACTTAATAGAAATCCCTTCTTGTAGTGGTATGTAGAACAAGACTTATGTGCTTTAGAGAATGGGTTTTGAGTGGGATGAATGTCTGAAAATGATAGTGGAAGATGATATTAGGATGTGAACTTATAATTTGTAGTAGATGGTATTGTACTACTTCTTATTGATGCATTTACCACACCTTTAAGGCACCTTTTTTTTAATAATTCATTCCATAATCATGTAGGGAATGTTTGCTTTAATATCCAAATGATTATCCAAGAAGAGAGATATTGAACGTATAACAGATTATTTTGAACTGTCTAAGCATCTGTTGATTGTAGATATTAGTATTTTTTATATATTAAGTTTTGAACTGCCTGAGTATATGTTTTCCTTAGCTACTGCAGGTACTTGTGGAAATGTGTTCTAATAGAGGGGTGCAGTCAATTTTTTTGTAAATGCTACAAGTTTTTGGTGGCTAACCAGTAGTTTAGCAGTTGGAAACTTCAATACCGGATGGGCGATAAAATCACTAGTTATTTTATTCCCCGCTGGTAATAACCGGCGGTTAACCTGTGGTATTTGTGCTGGAATATTTTGGTGTTTTACTTGCAATTTTGGCAATAGTAATTTTTGGTTGTTATAGCCACCGAAAAATCACCGAACAAATTTACCGCCAGAAAATACCGTCGGTTTTGATTTCCTAGTCGATTTATTCTGGCGGTCTTCAAGACGCGGGAAAACTGTTGGAATTTTTATAATCATCGAAAAATTGATGGATTCCGCCGAAAATTGTTGCCAGTAATGAATGATTTTTCTATAGTGAGCAAACAAAGTTATTGTTGAGAAATTGTGATTCAATGGCACTAATTCAAAACTTCAACTCTGTGGAATGTGTATTAAACAAACTGTCAAGAGCACTAATTAGACTACATTTAGCTTTTTGTTGCATTCAAGAAATTTTTATACTAGAAAATTAGTTTAGAAAATAGTAATAAAGCTATCTCAAATGAAGGCTAAATAACCCCAAATAATTTTAAAATTCATTCAAATAACATATTAATTTCAATACTCTCATCAAATATTTCTCCATAAATATTATTTAATAAAATAAAAATAATTAATTTCCAACTACGAAAGTACAAAATAAATTTCTTATATCATGAACGGAATCATACTTATGATTTAGGTTTCGTTTGGGATGACTTTTTTGCTATTCTTAAAACAACTTTTCAGTACAAAATAAATACAAAATTTTATTTTTTGTACTAAAAAGCTGCTTTAAGAAGCATTAAAAAAGCTGTCTCAAATGAAACCTTAAGTTTTATTCGGGACAACTTTCTTGCTGATTTATAAAGCAATTTATCGATACAAAAATTTTTAATTAAAAAAATTATATTAAAAATTTTCTTCTTCAAAAAATAAAAAAAGATCCCAAACCAAGCTTTATTTAACCCAATAATTGCCTATGTAAAAGTTCTCATTTCATAATTTCAATGTATTATAGAGTACTATACGTTATAGTACTTATATTTTTTTTACCCTCAAAGGCTATTCACGAATGCCTTTAAGTTCCTAGATGATGACCCCTCCTCTTCAAGCGCCTCCCTCGCCTTCTCTTTCCATTCCTCAGCCTTCCTTCTAATTTCCCTCGATCTCTCACCCTCCCCCATCAGCACATTCAAACCACGCCTGAGCTCCGCCGCCTCCACCAACCCCTCCTCCCCCGCCTCCAACCTCACCCCAATCCCCCATGCCACCTCTGCCAACCTCGCATTTGTAGCCTGATCCAACCTTTGTGGAATCATCAACATTGGTACGCCGCTCGCCACTGCTTCAAACGTCGAGTTCCACCCACCGTGCGTCACAAAGCACCCCACCGCCTTATGATCTAACACCCTCACCTGCGAGCACCACTGCACCACCTTCCCCTTCCCTTCCTTCAAAATCCTATCCACCCAGACCCCTTCTGGTCTGCTATCCTTTCTTAGCACCCACAAGTATGGCAGTCCACTCTCCTTTAGCCCCAGATCAAGCTCCTCCACTTGCTTCCTCGAGAACCTCGTTAAGCTGCCGAAAGCCACGTAAACTACTGAACGTTCATCTTGCTTGTCTAACCACTCCATGTAATCATCCATGTCCTCATTGAACAGGTCCCTGCTTCTTACTTCCTTTGCCATAGAGCTCTTGTCTACTATTGGCCCAATTGTGATCAATTCCAACCCAGTGATTTGGTCTATCACTGGTGCTTCCAGTTGATAGAATGTGTTCACTAAAACTTTGGGCTTATCCGATTTACTGAGCTCGTCGAATATGTCCATGTGGGCTGAGAGGTAGGCGTTCGGCGTTATGATGATGGACGGGAGGTCTTTCACTCGTAGATAAGGTAGTCCAGGTAGTTCCAATGAGAAAGAAGAATCTTCTTCTTCCTCGGTAGCAGTGAAAGAGAAACCAGGGTGATCGTGAAAGTAGTGGTAGTAAATGGCGAAGACGGAGGCAGGTTGGATCCAGTAGTGGATGGCAGTGACGTCGAGATCGCGCGCAATGTCGGTGGCCCAAGTGAGTAAGATGGTGTACAGTATGCAGGTCACTGGTCGTCCTCCGGCGGCAAAGTTGCGTGCCATGGCAGCGAGGGTGCGGGAGCCATGCGACTTGAGCATTTCCATTAGGAAATCGGGGTCGATTGTGTTCGGGTGAGTTCCGTCACCAAAGCCGTCGAAGTAAGGAGCGTAGGCGACAACTCCGGAGCCGTCAGGATTGAGAGGCGGCTCCTCTGCCATGTCATCCGGCTCGCCGGCAGCAGCGAGGGATCCGGGAAATAGGCGGCGATGAGAGGAGAGAGGCGTGGAGATGGTAACACGAGCTTTGGCGGTTCGGGCGAGGCGGCGCGCGAGGTGACGGGCGGGATTGATCTGACCTTGGGCGGCCATTGTCACCATTAGGAAATGGTGGCCTTGGCCATGACCGTTGACCATTTCCGGCATTGGGTGGTAGTAAGAAGATGACCGTTGTGTTGCTCTCACAAAATGGTTATTTGCGAACAAGAGAGAATGGATTGCTCTGTTCTCCAATAATAATTATCATTCATCGAATGAGATTTGTGGGTAGGAGGAACCAGTCGTCGACATGGTAAATCTATTCCAGTCTATGTTTCCTTCAAGGTATTCCATGAGAAAATTTTTTCCCTCTTTAAAGGTAATCGCCATTGAAGAAAAGAGAAGAAGAAAGGAATGAGGAATTCTTCCATTAGATGCTCTACTGGTTCTGAATCTTTATTTATAGCGTTGCAGAAGCTAAAAGTTAGTACTTGCTAACCGATTCAGGCTAAGTAGAGCTGTAGTTCTAAGAAACAGACTACCAATTACAGTCGTTCAATACTATGCAAAGTAACATATTCAGTTCTGCAGCAAGCAGCTAACTGCTGGAAAAAAAATTCGTTAGCAATTATAAATTATTAGAATAGATTTTAAAATTGTTAGATTTGATTTAAGATTGGTGCGATGAATACAAATTTTTTGTTACATTGATCTCAAAGAAGATCTCAGAACTTTAAAACTGATCAAAAATATGATTGGCATTCTGGCAACGTTTTTCCTTGTATTCACAAACTAACATCTAACAGCGCGTCTTCTCTTCATTCATCCAGCTTGAAATTCCTTTAACCATTTGGATGCTTCAATTTTTTTTTTTTTTTTCTGCAGAAAGAGTCTTAGCGTTAAATTTAGGATATGTTTGGGATAACTTTTTTATTGTTTTATTTTTCAAACAAAAAATATATTTTAGACTTTATTTGGATGATTTTTTGTTGTTTTTTAGTACAAAAAATAAAACTTTTCTACTAAAAATTTGCTTTAAAAAGTAACAAGAAAGCCGTCTTGAAACATTTTTTTACAAAGACTTTTTGCATTCGAAATTTTTATATTAAAAAAAGTTCTTTATAAAAAGTAGTAAGAAAATTATCCCAAATAAAACTTTAGATTTCATTTGGGACATCTTTCTTATTACTTTCTAAATAATATTTTAATAAATTTTTTTTGAACAAGAAATTTTTATATTTGAAAAATTGCTTTAAGAAACATCAAGAAAATTGTCTCAAACAAAGTCTTATAGTTTGGTTAAAGTTCTCTTATTATATCCTTTTGAGATATTTTTGTGGCATAAAGCAGTTTTTTGAAACCAAAATTGCTAAATTCTAAAAATATAATTTACATGTATTTCCATATCTAATACTTGAATATTACAATTTAATTATATAATATTTAAATTTCTAATTCACATAAAAATACAATTATTATTAACTTATTAAATGCAAAAAAAATCATATCGTACCCATTCTTTGATATGATTTAGATACTAAAATTACATATAAGTAAATATATAAATTTTGGTGCAAGATAATTTGAATCTTGCGGTATGTATGTAAATCTCCTATAAAGAAGTAAATTAGTCCATAAGAACATTCTAAAAGAAGCTTATTTAATAATTTACTCTAATGATTTTCAATTTTAATATTAAGAGTTAGTTTATCACATAGAATAGACTTGGGCTTCGTTTATGACAGCTTTCTTATTGCAATATTTTTTTAGCACAATAATTAAAATTTTTGTACTAGAAAGCTTGATTTAAGAAGCAATAAGAAAGTTTTCCCAAAGAAGCCTTGGTCATATAAAATGTTGGTCATGTTTAGCTTGAGCTAGAGTTGAGCTTTCATATGCATAATTGTACTTGGCTTGTTTTATATTTTTCAATAATTGAGCTTAAATTTTATTTGACTTGATTAAACTAGCCGGGAAAGTACTTATAAGAGCTAATAAAAAATGTTAAAAATGAGCGAGTGTTTTTTTTTTGTTAAAACTCACTCACAGGCCTACGCGTTAATATTTTTTTTTAAAAAGGTACAAGGTCCTTAAAGAGACCTCTAGCCCCCCTACTGCTCAATAGAGCTACAAAAAGGTCCAAAAAAATTCTATGAGTCAGTGGTCTCTACTAAACAGAATTACAAAGAAAAATAAGAAACCTAGACTTTGGCGGCCAGTAGCCCGCACCCAAAAATTGAGATACACTGAATAAACATTTAGCTCAATATTGTCTCTAGAAGGAAGAATCAGCATCCCAAAAAAAGGTTCATCAAACATTTGCATAAAAGAGCCGCACCAGAAAATGTCGGAGCCATAGTGAACAATGCCTATAGAAAAACCATCCATAATACAAAACACAATGGATTGACAACTAAAATCAGTTATCTGCATATAGAATAACTACAAGGGATAAAAACCAAGAAGCATACCATACATCATAGGCATCAGATGAGAGTTGAAAGTATAGAAAATAAAGGATAAACTAAATAAATGATAACCATAACCCACGCAAACAAGCAGGTAATGTGAAAAGTGGAAAATTCACAACAAGAGTAGCATAGCACAAGTGACCCCTCCCTAAACTCTCGAAACCAGGAAGAAAATATTGCATGTCGCTAAACAGATAACCACCAAATCCAAAAACCACAAAAGCAAATGAAAAAAAGCAACCCCACATTAATGGGATCTAATATAAGGTAACCTAGTCTGATCCAAGACCACCAAACTTTTAACAGTTTTAGGGATCTCATCCTCTTGAAATTCAATGAACTGGAGAGCAGTGTAACCCATTTTAGTTAGAGCATCAGCACACATATTACCCTCATGCAAGATGTGAGAAATTTTGAAATTAAGGCAATATAAGCCTTGTTTAATATGTATGATCAGATACAAATTATCGGCATTAAATAAATGAGAGCTATTGATGTAGTGTATAATAAGCATAACATCAACCTCAATCCAAATATTATTATTACCTAACTTAATACACATATTGATACCATAATTAAGGGCATAAAGCTTAGCCATAAAGGCAACAGAAACAGAAACATGGCAAAGAAAACCTTTAATCAACTTACCAAGATTATCTTTCACAATACCCCTATAGCCAACCATATTCCCTTCAAAAGGCCCATATATGTTGAGCTTAAACCAACCAAGAAAGGTTTATGCCAATGGATAACCCTATCCTTTATCCCTTAGGCAGAAATAATTTTTGAATACCAAAATGAAAAGAAATAAAATTGCAACCTTTGAAATTCTCAGGTTTAATGAGATTAGCAACATGAAGATACATGATTTTATCTTTAATATTAAGGATGATATGCTCAACATTCATAATGATCCCATCATGCTTGGTGTCATTCCTACTTTTCTAAAGGTACCAAATGATAATATTAGGGAGACTATTTCTAATATGACCTTTAGAGTTAACAAACAAACTTTTCATAATATCAATAATGTTGTTATAACCATGAGAAAAATTCAAGTTAAAGAGCTCTTAAAAATGAAGCAACACTTTAATGGAAATAGTCCCATTGACCAAAACATGGTTAAGAGTTTCCACATGATAACAACATTGACATTTAGAAACAATCTTAAAACCTCTTTTAATAAGAATGTTATCAGTAAGATAAAGTTGTGAATCACTCTCCAAGTAAGAATGGAATAAGAAATGGGAATCGATTTATGCCAAACAATCGAAAAAAGAGGGTTAGGTACGTGACCTATCATCTTTAATTAACTGCCAAGCTTCTTTAAAATCAAAATTCTATACCATTTTGATCTTTAATAAAAAGGATGCAATCCTCTTTGTTAACATGCAAAGGAATATTAACAATAGTTTTAATAATATTATTAGGAACAACATCCTTCAACATTTCAATATTCCACTTCCCATCAGAAATAAAGCTTTTAACAAAGAAAGGGGAAATATATCTAGTATTTAATAAACTATCAATGAAATATTTACCAATTGACTGGTCTTGCCAAAAGAAAACATCAGCACTACCAATACCCCACTAAATGAACTTCTTCATCTCCCAATTAATGCTACAAAGCCTTTTCCATATAGAAGAATCTCCCTTTTTAGGAACATATAAAAGAGGATGATTATTGCCATAATATTTGCTATATAAGAAATTAGCCCATAAAATCTTACTTGTTCTAAAGTTGAACCAAAGTTTATAAGAAAAAGCTTTAGTCATAGCATACAAATTCTTACAGCCAAGGCCACATTCCTCTAGACTATCACAACACTTCTTCCAAGATGCCCAGAGAATAGTAGATTTGTCAGTTTTAGCCCCCCAAAAAAACTTGTTGATTAACTTCTCAATTCTATGACAAACGAAAATAGTGGGAATTAAAGTATATACTAAATAAATAGGAAATTAATGTGGAAAGAACATTTTTAATTAAAACAAGTATCCCAGCCACCAAAAGCTAAGAAATTGAAAGCACAAGTGTAAAGTTTTTTTTGCATAGCTAAGATGATCTCATCAAAAAGATGTGATTTCCTCTTACCCTTGTAGGGAGATGTACCCAAATAAGTGATCTACAAATACATATAAGATATACTAATTTTATCATGAATTCTATTACTACGTTGAGAACTAATGGGCTTACCAGTAATAAAGCCACTTTTGTTTTTGTTAATATGTAAAACACTAAATTTAGAGAAGAACTAATATTAAAAATATTAATAAAATAGTCAACTATATAAGCATAAATCACATCGAGAGAATTTAAAACCATGCCATTAAGATGAGTAATCTTATAAATATGGCTAGAAACCTTTTTGTTATTAACAATACTTTGAAAAAATTTAGTGTTCCTGTCACCTTCAACCAGGAATTTAGAAGCAGCTTATTGTTTCAAAAAAGCCTCTTTTTTTTTTTGTAATTTAAAAAAGATCCTTTTTGGATTCATTAAGCTTAGCAAGGTTCACACCCAAATCATCAAGCATATATGACATTTCTAAAAAATTAACTTTAATCTCAGCATCCAAAATATTAGTGAAAATAATTTTGAAAACCACTTTATTCCACCATTTAAGCTTTTGTTTGAGTCTTTTGAGTTTTATACAAAGTCTATGCATCCCTCTAATATTATCATCTGAA